GGGTGAGCGTGTGGGACGGGCCCGGGTGAGCGTGTGGGACGGGCCCGGGTGAGCGTGTGGGACGGGCCCGGGTGAGCGTGTGGGACGGGCCCGGGCGGAGCTGTGGGACGGGCCCGGGTGAGCGTGTGGGACGGTACGGGGCGGTGCTGTGGCAAACGGCCCCGGGCGATAGTGTGGGACGGGCCCGGGGACCAGGCGGGTGTGTGGGATGGGCCCGAGTGGGTGAAGAATGGGTCCCGTGAGGTGCCGGTCACCCAACAACGCAGTTCTGTCGTTTCTTTCCACGAGTGGGCGCAGGAGAAAGAACGAAAYGAAAGGCTCACGGGTTGAGATAGGGATCGGGAGAGGTCACAGACCGATTACCGTCACGGGCAAAACAACCTCAATTTAAATGAATTTACTATGAAAATCAGAGCGGGTTAATGAGAAGTAAAATAAATCTTACAAAACACCTTCCCCCCACTCCGTCCCTACCGCCTCGCAGCTGCTCAGGGAGACAGGGAGTAGAGGTTACAGACAATTCATCATCACACGTTGTTTCTGCCACTGCTCAGGGTTTTTTTCCTGCTCCAGCGTGGGKTCMCTGCCATGGACTTCTCCAGTGTGAATCTTTACCACGGGTGACAGTTCTTGAGAGCTGCTCCAACATGAGTCACTTTTCCATGGGCTGTAATCCTCTAGGAGCAGGCTTAACTATGCTATCCCAGAGACTCTATCACCATCCCTGATGGGCTTGGCCTTGACCAGCAGTGTGTCCACTTTGGAGCCAGCTGGCATTGGCTCTACCAGACAYGTGAGAAGCTTCTGGCAGCTTCTCACAGAAGCCAATCTTGTAGTCACCCCGCTACCAACACCTGATTATGCAAACCCTATACAGCTCTGCAGTCTGGGATTAAAGCAGCTGGACTGGCAGATGAGCTACGAGCCAGTGGTTGTGTGATAGGAGGATGGGCTCAGTCCCTCTGGGCCTTGGCACACAGAAATGGGGCTTTGGGAAGCRCTGGAGATGTGGCAGGGAAGTGACAGGGATGGAGGAATCCTGGACCTGGAGTTCTGSTGAAAAGGAAAGTAAATGTGCATTGATGCTTTTGACATTGGTGTAAATGTCAAACGTGCAGTGGGCTGTGAGATCTCCCTCCCTGAGCTTGGGGGGAGGCAAATGTGAAGGTTCAAGGGGATTTCTCTGACATTTATGTGGTTCTAGAGAAATGGGGCTTTTTTTTTTTTTTTTTAAGGCTGAAGCTCCATGAAGATTGAACAACATTCCTCCTCCACTTACATGACAACGTGGCAAACCTGAAACAGCTCATTAAAAACATTATTTCCTCCTTCAAAGAATAAGCACCAGAATTTTCCCTGTAGGGGCTCATTTTGTATTGTCCTCATTTGAGGCAAGGAAATGAACGGGACAAAATCTTCTCCACCTCTATCCCTGGAGATGGCTGCAATCTGATAACAGGTTATTCTGCTATTTCCTTCCCTCCTCAGACTTGCAGCTGGAAAGTCAGAGCTGTTCCAAACCAAAGTGTGGAAAAGTGCCCTCCTTGTTTTCTCCTGTGCATTTGCCGTTGTTGGCTTTCCACGCAGCAGATAGGCAACTCCATAGCAGGTACAGTCTGTGGAGGTTTTTGGATTTGTCCACTGTAATTCAGGCAGTCTGCGGGGTGAATTGTACCCATTTTGTACTGAAATGGGCAAATTCTTCCAAAACAATGCTTAGTAGCTTGATTTAATGTCTTTGACTGGAGTATAGAGACAATTGCTGAAAGCAAGAAGTCTTAATGGGCAACAAATGAAGGAGAATTCTTTATCATTAAGCCACTTATTTTTGGCTGTGTTTTTGTTTTTCAAACATGCTAAGAGGATATATGAAATGAAGCAGGGCTTACACAGAATATCATGTAAGTTTTGCTTGTATTTGCGCAATCTGTACAGYTGGCTCATCGGAGCATACAAGAAAATGTGTTTTAAATAAAAAAACTACAGGATGGTCCTAGAGACTCTAAAAATGCTGATCGTGGCTAAAAATGTCTTTCTTTAAAATTAAGGCAGTTAAGATGCATAAAGTCTTTTTCTTACAAGTACATGGTTAAGTTTCACATGAGAAGTATAGCAAAAGGGTGAAAGAAACGCTCCTGCGCCAAAGAACTTTAAGATTGCWGTGGACCTCCTCTGACTCTTCTCCCGTGTGTTTCTAGCAGCTTTAGCCACTCGATGCACCATCCGTTGCTTTTCTTCATCTCGTCCGTCTGGGTTTTYAGGGAATAGTGCCGGCGCCGGTCCTCGCTCGGCGGCGGGCGGGCGGGGCTCGCCGCGGCTCCGGGGCGCCTCCCGCTCGCCGCTCTCTTTCCTGCAGCCGCTGCCAGGAAGTTGGAGACGGGGTAGTCACTCTCCGCGCCGCTTCGGCCGGCGCTGGGTAGGGCTGCGGCGCCTTTCTCCGGCCGTGGGGCACCCTGCCTTGGGGATGTAGGGGGCCGCGGAGCCATGCGCGGCCCGGCGCTGCCCCGCACCTCGCTGGGGACGGTAAGTCACGGCGGGGACTTCGCCGCTCCCGAAGGAGCGGGGCCGTGCGCCGGCGGGACACAGCCTCACCCGGCGACAGCTCCGCTCCCGCGGATCTGCAGCCCACCGAGGGCCCGCAGAGCAGTGTCCGCCGCGGGGCTTTCGGGCGCGGGCTTTCTTCGACCCTCCTGCTCGCCGTCGGGCTCCCCGTCGCTGCCGGTCTCCGGAGAGCCCGCTTTCTGCTCGCCCTCTCCGGAGGGCTGGGGCTCCCCTCCCGGCAGCTCCATGCCGGGGCGGGCGGCGGTGGGRCAGGGCTCGGGGAGTCTGCGGGAGGGCGAGGCGGGCGGTCATCGTCGCAGGCGAGGTTGGTGCCGGAGCGGCGGTAGCGGCTCGGGCGGCCGGGCCGCGCCATCCGCCGGGCGCCCGCGGGGCAGCGGCACCGCCGCGCTCGCAGCCTCGCTCCCTCCGCTCCCCGCCCACCGCTGGGCACCGAGCTGGCCGGCGCCGTTTCCGGGATTTATCCTTGACTCGAGGAAAAAGGGGTCTGGGTTTACAGGAACGGCGGTGGATTCCCTGGAGCCCGCGGCGCGGCCGTTAACGCGCGGGGCGGTCCGGGCGCCGGGGCTCKTCGGGCCCGCGGAGCCGCCCGGGCTGGGACCGGAGCCGCTCCGCTCTGCGGGGTTGGAGCCGCCCACGCTTTGCTGTGCACGCAAATGCCACTSTGGGGGCGTTTGAAGAAAGTTTAGTGAGCTGTAGCTACGCCCCAAAGCACGGGRTTTGTATAAAAGAAAGGTAGCTTTGCCGGTGGATCTTCTTTGGCCTCCCCAGCACCGTAGGGCAAGGCTTTTAAGCTGCGCGTAGTGATTTTGCGGGTGAAAAAGTTGTAAAAGAAATCAGAGAGTTTTGTGAATAAGCTGATCGCTAGGCGTGAATGGCTAACCAGTATCAGATGTGTGATAAAGCCGTGACAGTGGAGTGGTGTCACTTAGCATCATAACATGGCTATAAATTCTGCTACAGAGGGAAAACTACTGCTACTAAAGGTCAAACTGCTTATCCCTAAACACCTGAGCTTCCTGGTAATACACACTTGCACTTGGCTGCACTGGACTTGTAATGTTGGGTTTGTTCTTAATTTGCTGTCAGAAAGTTGCAACAATGTGACTCAAAGTTACCTTCTTCCAGACGGGTTTGCGTTTGGTTTAGGGTTTCTTTTACTGCTTGAAAAATTTGGAAACCAGGTAATAGACTKAAAGCCAGCTGTGGCAGGAGAACACAACTAAAACTGAAGAGTAGGAACACCTACACTCTAGATGTGGATCACTTACCATCTTGGRACCTAGGCACATAAAGTGTTGATGGATAGATTTTAAAGCAGTAAGCAAACCTGAAAAGTGYATTTCTGGCTTAAGAATAGAAGTGCACACATTTTGTTGTAAATCAGACACTGTATGTGATATTATTCATTCTGTTGGCAAAAAAAGAAAAACCTATTGGATTCCCCAAATTAATTGTATTATCATCAGTTAAAATATACACTGGAGGAAGAGTCCTTCAGCAGGATTGCTTTTTGAAGGCATTTCCCTCCTATTTGCATGTAATTTCAAGTTCTCCATAACACTATACTCTCTACAGATAATGTTTATCTTTTCAATACAATAATATTTTCTTTTCAGATTTGCAAGTTTTGCTCTATTGCATGTCCTTCCATGTGTCGTTTACTTTGCATATCATCCTCTGTCCTCATAGTGTTTCTTTGCCCCTRATGCCCCTCTTCTAGTTTTCTGATTCTTGTAGTTTCCTGTAATTCTTCAAAATTTCCTGTAGCCTGCTTCCATGCACTCTCTGCCTGTACTTAAACCCATTTTCAGGTTCTCTGTGTTTTCCCCATGCACTCCTAAGTTTTACACTGGACAAAATGGCATTTGTCTTCACTGAGGCCACT